GCTAAGACTTCCAGTACTATGTTAAATAGGAGTGGCGAAAGTGGGCATCCTTGCCTTGTTCCTGATCTTAAGTGAAATGCTTTTTGTTTTTGCCCATTGAGTATGATGTTGGCTGTAGGTCTTTCATATATGGCCTTTATTATGTCGAGATATGATCCCTCTATTCCCACACTGCTGAGCGTTTTTATCAGAAATGGATGCTGGATTTTGTCGAAGCCTTTTTCAGCATCTAATGATATGATCATGTGGTTTTAATTATTCATTTTATTTATGTGGTGTATCACATTTATGGATTTGCAAATATTGTACCAGCCTTGCATCCCTGGGATGAATCCCACTTGGTCATGGTGGATAATTTTTTTTTTTATGTATTGCTGGATTCAATTTGCTAGTATTTTGTTCAGGATTTTGGCGTCTATGTTCATCAGGGATATTTGCCTGTAGTTTTCTTTCTTTGTTGTGTCTTTTTCTGATTTTGGAATTAGAATTATGCTGGCTTCATAAAACGAATTTGGAAGTCTTCCTTCTTCTTGAAATTTTTGTAATAGTTTGCGGAGAATGGGTATTAGTTCTTCTTTGAATGTTCGGTAAAACTCCCCCGTGAAGCCATCCGGGCCTGGGCTTTTGTTTGCTGGGAGAGTCTTGACTACATCTTCAATTTCTTCTGTTGTTATTGGTCTGTTCAAGTTTTCTATCTCTTCCTGATCCACTTTTGGGAGACTATGTGTTTCTAGAAATTTGTCCATTTTGCTTAGATTGTCGAATTTGTTGCCATATAATTGTTCATAGTAGTTGTTAACAATCTTTTGTATTTCTGTGGTGTCAGTTGTTATCTCTCCTCTTTCATTTCTGATTTTGTGTATTTTGGTTCTCTCTCTTTGTTTCTTGGTGAGTCTAGCTAAGGGTCCATCAATCTTGTTTATCTTTTTGAAAAACCAGCTCTTTGTTTTATTGATCCTTTGAATTGTTTTTTTGGTCTCTATGTCATTTATTTCTTCTCTGATACTTACTATGTCCTTCCTTGTACTTGCTCTGGAGTTTTCTTTTTGTTTGCTTTCTAGTTCTTTAAGTTGTGAGGTTAGATAATCTATTAGAGATTTTTCTTGTTTTTTGAGGTAGGCCTGTAGTGCTATGAACTTCCCTCTCAGAACTGCTTTCGCTGCATCCCATAGATTTTGTGTTGTTGTGTCTTCATTTTCATTGGTTTCCAGGAAGTTTTTGATTTCTTCCTTGATCTCCTCGGTGACCCATTCATTGTTTAATAACATGCTATTTAGCCTCCATGTGTTTAAATGTCTTTGCCTGTTCTTGTTGCAATTAATTTCTAGTTTCATGCCATTGTGATCTGAGAAGATGCTTGATATGATTTCAATCTTCTTGAACTTGTAGAGACTTAGTTTGTGCCCTAACATGTGGTCTATCTTTGAGAATGTCCCATGTGCACTTGAGAAGAATGTGAATTCTGTAGTTTTGGGGTGTAGTTCTCTGTAGATATCTATTAAATCCATTTGGTCTAGTGCTTCATTTAGAGTCTCTGTTTCCTTGCTAATTTTTTGTCTATAGGATCTATCCAGTGATGTCAGTGGGGTGATGAAGTCCCCTGCTATGATTGTATTGCTATCGATTTCTCCTTTGAAATCTTCCAGGATATTTTTAATATATTTTGGTGCTCCTATATTGGGCGCATATATGTTAACAAGGTTATATCTTCCTGTTGGATAGATCCTTTCAATATTACATAGTCGCCTTCTTTGTCTCTAATTATGGCCTTCATTCTGAAATCTATTTTATCAGATATGAGTATTGCTACCCCAGCTTTTTTTTCTTTTCCGTTTGCTTGGAAGATTTTTTTTCCACCCCTTCACTTTCAAGCTATGTGTGTCTTTTGTTGTGAGGTGGGTACCACAGCTTTTTTATCCATTCGTCTACTGATGGACATTTAGGCTGTTTCCAGATCTTAGCTATTGTATATAGTGCTGCTATGAACATGGGGGCACATATATTCTTTCTGAATGATGTTTCAGGCTTCTTAGTGTATATTCCTAGAAGCAGGATCACTGTGTCAAATGGAAGTTCAATTTTTAATTTTTTGAAGTAACATCATATTGTTTTCCATAGTGCTTTCATTTTTTTAATATCTTTCTTTATTTCTTTTTTCAATGTCCTTTACTTTTCTGAGATTCTTTCTTGTTTGTGTGTGTGTGTGTGTGTAAATCCTTTTTGCTATTGTGGAGGTTGGTAAATATTTAGAAAAATAAAATGCTAGAGGGGAAACATTTTAGACCTCGTGGTCATGTGTTTTGTGCTATACTCAGTTTTGCAGTTGCAGTAATAAAGCAGCCAGAGAAAATACAGCAACAAATGAACATTGCTATGTTCAAATAAAACTATTTAGGGACAATAAACTTTGAATATAATTTATATAATTTTCACATGTCATGAAATATTCTTCTTTTTATTTTTTCTAACCATTTAAAAGCTTGAGCAAACATCCTTAGCTTGTATGCCATACAAAACAGTAGTTGGTTAAATTTGGTCCACAGGCCAGTTTGCCTACTTCTGCTCTATTGTTCTTCTGAATTATGCATAGTTATCTCCTCACAACTTGTGTAATAGTCCTGAGATGAATATTAAAAGAATATATATTTCTTTGTTTTATTCCTAAAATGAATATTAAATATATATATATGTATTTCTTTGTTTTATCAGTATATTTATTTTCAATTGCCTCTATAAAAAATTACCACAGTTTAGCAGCTTAAAACAATCCACATATATTATATCTCAATTCTATAGCTCAGAAGTCTGAGTTGGCTTGGTATGATTCTCTCAGGGTTCACAAGGCTGAAATCAAGGTATGGGCTGGCTGAGGTTCTATCAGGTGGTTCTGCGAAAATTCTACTTTCAAGCTCATTTTGGTAGGCAGAATCTGATTCTTTGTGGTTGTAGGAATGAGGCTCTGATTTTCTCATTGGCTATGAACTAAAAGCCAGCCTCCCTCGTAGAGGCCTCCCTCTCTGTTCCTTCATGTGGACCTCTATATCTCAAAGTCCTCTCCGTACAGCAGATCTTTTTCATATTTGAAATCTCTCTGACTTATTCTACAACATTTCAGCATCTGAATTCCTCTTCTTCTTCCTCTGTTTTTAAGGGCTTAGTGATTACTTTGGGACCACCTATAAACTAGAAAAACCTCTCGATTTTAAGGTCAGCTGATTAGAAACTATAAGTCGATCAGCAAAGTTTAATCATAGCAGTAGCTAGATTAGCATTTGGTTGAATAACTAAGAGATAGGAACCTTGTGGAGACAGCTTTAGAATTTATAACAGCACAATTGCCACCTATATTTTCAACAAATAATATATAATTCTATAGAGCACTTGAGATGTATCCAGAAATAATTTATCCCATCCAAGCACTTTTTTTAGATTAGATACTCTTAGATTTGACATATTTTATAAACATATTTTATACCATTTAGAGCTAATTCAATAGTCCTTGCTTCTCATTAGGTGATCTAGCAACTTGGAAGTAAATCTGAGATGTACATGCTATTGTCTTTCTTTCCAATTAATAATTTACTCCAAGGATAGCATTTTCATTCTTTTCTTGGGGAAGGAACTGTTTCATATATAACTTACCTTTGTCTCATATGTGTAAAAGTAAGATTTCAGGGTAAATGCTGTGGGGAACAATTTGGCATATTTTTTGGAGTGATTTTTATATTTAGGATCCAAGTGCTATTTTCTAAGTCCAATCAGTTACTGAATCACATGTATATAATATTCTTAGGCTAGAAATATCTATTTGACTCTCAGCTGCTTTACTTCAGCCACCAAGTCAGATTTGTCACCATTCTTGTTGATTCTCATCCTCAGTAGCCTGAGCATCTACATCTTTCTTTTCACCTCTTGCCTCTATGATACCCTGGTTTACATTTTCATGATTTTCTATCCCATCTATTACAATAACTTCCTACTTGGCTGCCTGCTTCTGGTTTCTTCCTTCTCCATATAATGTTCCAGAGATTATATGATTCAACCAGAATTTTAGAATAACTGCCAACGTTCCTCCATTGCCTCCAGAATGGCATTCCAACTCCTTCGTGTGACATTCAAAGATTTCTATAACTCAATTCTATCTTTCAACCTCATTTTCCATTACAGCTCTTCACAGAAGTATTGTGATAGTAGTTGCTGAATACTATTTTTCCAATGATAGAGATGGGCCGTGTTCTGGTACATAGGTCTGTGTAACTGGGGTAAAGGGTTTGTGTAACTATTACAGGTGGGGCTTAAAAGATGGCTTTGGTCATTCAAAGATCCTGATTTTTTACCTTCAACATTCAATTGAGTGTGAAATTCAGGCAAGCCCTTTTACCACCTACATTTTTAATTTACCTCCTCCTCTCTGTTAGTCTTGCCATTGACCTAGCATAAGTCTTGAACTATTGCCTTGGTCAACATGTGTCCTTGTCCCATTCTTTTTTTACTCTAATCCAGTCATAATATGACAGTAAAGTATCATTCTAAAACAGGGTCTTATCATGGCCCCTTAGTAATTCAAAACCTTTACTTGTCCTCTACTGTTTCCACTGAAAATTATTTACCCACTAATGCAGTGATTGAGAACTTGAGCCCTAGGTCAGACTGCTGGGGATGGGATCCTAATTCTCCTACTTACCAGCTATGTGATGTGAAACATGTCATTTTATTGCTCTAAGTCTCAGTCTCCTCATCTGTAAAATTGGGATAATATTTTTTATACAAAGTTGTTATGTAGATAAAAATATATTAAGTATGAAGAGCAATTACCCAGTACTTGGTAAATAGCATATATTTAACTAATACTGGCCATAATAACCACCATAGAATACTCCCAAGACTGAGATGGACTCTATCAATAATTGGCTATTTTTTTACTTAGTTAGGGATTTTAAAGAGACGTATATTTTGTTAAATAACAGAATTTCAATGTTCTTTCTTTTTGCCTTGTGTAGGCAGCTAAGGATTGTAACCGGTGAATGGTTTTTTGAAGAAAAGGCAAAACGTTTCAAGCAAGCCAATGTTCTAGGCACTGATGTTGTCCGACAGTCCATCTTAAGAAGAAATCCAGGTAATTAAAGCAATTATTTGGTTTCAAAATTGTTTTAATCTTCATTTTGGCAGGCTAAATAAGTTCCCGATATTATGTATCAAATGAGCACAGTTTAATTTTCTGAATCCCTTAGATCATTTCAAAACATGAACTCTAAATTTGCAATTCATACAAGGGAAGAGGAAGTCAGCAGAAAGAAATACACAGTGATTTTCAATGTATCTGATAAACTGAAATTTTTAAAGGAGGTATTTATCTTCATCATAGACAGTTCTTTTATTGAATGCACCTCTAATATTTTACTAAGCATTTAAGGAAATAACACAAAGAAAAATAAATGGTTTACATTGTCACATTGCAAAAGCAATGCTTGATTTTTCAACAAAAAATATCTTTCAGAATTTTTTTAAATGTTACTTTTTATAATCCACTGGTTCTCAACTAAGGGGTAATACTGTGTATTGTGCTCTTTCCCCAAGCCAGAGGAGAATTTAGAAATGCAAGCAGGGCAGTGAGGTGGGGGGGGGGGGATGATAACAGTATTTTGCAGTCAGGTGTCAGAGATGTTCCATGGTCTGAAAGGTACAGGGCAGTTTCACTCAGTGAAGAATAATAGTGTCACCAAATGCAAATAATAGACCACCCTGAGAATGCTATTCTGTGCATTCAAACTATAACTTAATTGGTTAAATATTGAGTGAAACTTGTATTTAGGAGCATATTTCTTATGTGTGGTGTAGTAAAGGCATCTCCTGTCCTGTTCCTAGGGTATCTGATATTTCATATACAGGAGACTAAGGCCCTTGTTTTGAAGTCTCACAGAAAGGGTTGGGAGACTTGGAACTTATTTCAGTGCCACTTTCAGGTGTGGCACTAGCAAGAAAGGGCTTTCTCAGATGAGTAACATCAGGTCTGATGCTGCAAAGGGACAGAATGCAGTAAAGTTAACATTAAACTGTTAGCTACTTCCTTCACTCAAATCTCAGCACCTTCAAGTTATGAGATGTATTCATACATACTCACCCTCCCCTTAAATTTGGCTTAGATACTCAGAAATTAGAGTATCATTTCTAGGATCACATCATGAATTCCATCTCTAAAAATTTGGAGTTCTCATGAACCCAGGCTCTTCTGCCCTAGAGATATCTGCAGAAAGATCATGTATTGTTTACTCCACTGTAGTCATCCCTAGAAAACTTATCTCAGCAAACCTCCCACAGATCAGTCCTGATTTTAGTCCTCATTTAACTCTGGAACACTCAACTGATTAGAAATAACTATGTGACTGGGAATTTTAGGATGGAAACATCATTGCTAATTATTATAGACTTCATTGTCCTGTGCTAAAGCAGGAAAGTAAATGAAGAATAGAAGATTATTCTCATTACTTGCCATTTTGTACGTAAACTTGTCTTCTGATTATTTTTAATGAGGAGCTGAAGAAATACAAAGCCACGAGAAAAACCGCGAGGAAGCAGAAAAGTCAAACACTTCACCTTCTGCTGGGCAGAAGGCCAGTCATGATGGACCCAAGAGAAAGGGGTAAGATACAGCCTTTCCAAGGGAACTTTTTATCTTTATTTCAGACACCTTTGAAATAAAGACTCCTCAGTTTTTGAAGTCTAATGTCATGTCAGTGACCCAGAAAAGGTCAGAGACTTAACAAAGGTTACATTCTCCTGAGGAAATGAAGTTTTAATTACTTTCGGTTTTAGGTGAATAAAGGTCCCCTCTGATCTGTAAGAGTCTTTCTTGTATTTGACATATCCAGTCGTGTACCAAGTGGTTTCCATTGCTTGTAGGTAGAAGGTTTCATGTCAGGGCCAGTTTTGTCTATAAAGAGGTGATGACTGACTTTGTTATAGAATGTCAACACCCCTCCCCCAATCCTGAGTGCTGATATATGAAATATCCAAATCAAAGACTTATTAGTTGGGCTGAAAACATTATATTCCCTGTTTAAAATGCAGGCTTCTGGCCCTGGCTGGTTTGGTTCAGTGGTTAGAGCGTAGGCCTGCGGTCCAGAGAGACCCGGGATAGGTTCCTGCTGGGGGCATGTACCTTGGTCGTGGTTTGTCCCCGGCCCTGGTTGGTCGTGTGGGTGGCAGCCACTTGATGTGTCCCTTTCACCTCGGTGTTTCACTTTCTATCTCTCTTCCTCTCTCTCCCTCCCACTCTATCTGAACGAAAAAACGAAGAAATGTCCTCAGGTGAGGAAAAAAAATAAAATAAAATGCAGGCTTCCTTAAGGGGAAAAATAACATTTGGCCACCTCAGCAACAATTCAAAAGCATACATCAGGTACTGAGACTAGGAATAGGAGGCACATCGGGAAGCAAGATTCAAGGAGGCACTGGAAAACGGGACAAGCGGGTTCCATCAAGGGAGAAAAGTGGCCCACAAAATATTGGCTATAAGGACCAAAAGGCAAACTGTTGCTTCACAGCATTTTACAATCTTTATTTCTCAGGCAGCTGTTGGTTAGTTTTGTGGCTAAGGTGGTGAGAGTTCTAATATGCACCAAATTACCTTATGGTCCTTTCCAGGTAGCATTGTTTTCTCAGCAGAAATCAATGTGAGAGATTGCCAATGTTTGAGACTTTAAAAATCAGTTTTTTATTTTTATTTCTTTTTAGAATCTTGAACTGCAAATAGGAATGAAACTTAAGTATCTTCTAACTAAAACACTCATGATTAACCATGTCTTCATTAATTAGCAGAGATGAATGGAAAAGATAACTTAGAGTAGGCAAACATCTGAGGTTGTTGATTCTTCCTACATGTTGAATTCATCTGTCACTCCTCAGGATTCCCACAATGCCTTGTGCCAGCGCATCACTCCTTACATTGCGCGCGCGTGCGCACACACACACACACACACACACACACACACACATAATTATAAGCTCTCTTAGTGCTGGGCTTGTTGCTTTTTTGCTTTTGTGCTACAGCATGGTGCCTGGCTCATCAAAACCAATCCAATGACTTGATTAAATAAGTAACTCAGATTCTACAAATGCTTCTAGGAGCTGTAATTTGCAGACTCCAGTTTAGGCATCATTGTGTAGGTTATAGCAGAATGCTGAACTTGGAGCTTGGAGAAAATAAGTAACTCTCCAGCACAATGAGTTATATACACCCTGAATTGTTTTTTAAAAATCGTCATAGCACTGGACTGAGCCTTGCGGGAACTCAAAATTGGGATCTGATGGTTCTCAGTCTTCAAGGAATAGAAACACCTGGTTGGGGGGAAAAGGTACATACTTGATAATTTAATATGTATAGAAGAAGTTTAAGAAAAGATAAGATGATAATATGAGCTGCCTGGAAGCCTTTCTAATACAAGACAAGGTGTTAATTAACTACATGAGATGTCATAAGTCAGTAAATAAGTAAATATTAAATAAGTGACAGGTAATCAATGTCAGGAAAGCACAGGGACCATCAGGAAAGACATCAAATTGTAAGTTGGACTTGATGAGGACTTTGAAAGATGGTTGGGGTCCAGATAGCAAAAAGTGGGAGAGTGATCAAGCTGGAGGAGATACTTTAAGTAGAAGTTCAGAGATGGGGACATGCATAAGGTGAGTCTCAGAGCAGAATAGGTTGACATTATATTAAGTGCTATTCTCATTATGTAATTTTTATGCTATTCTAAAATGTAATTTTCCAGTTAGATTGAAGCTTCTGACACTTTGACAAGATGCTCTTCTAGTGGTCTTTGAAACAGAGATACTTGGCAGATTCCATTAAAATTGTCCTAGTACTTCTGGATACATCACCCCCACCACCAAGAAAACTGTAGAATGTTGAGTAAATGAACAGGTCTCTCTCAGTGCTGTCACAAAAATAATATAGCTTTGGTTTTACATTAAAAAACCCTCATGTTTGGGGCATTCAGTAGCCTGGATCATGACTTGAATCTTGGTTTCTGAAAGCTATTTTTGCTCAAGTGCTAAATAATTTAGTGAAATGCAATTAGATTTTATCCTATATGAGACACTTCATTGTTCAAACTTTGTTACCACAAGGAGAAATGTCATGGAGTATCTAAAGATGGTACCCACCACGTGGGTTTAGACATTCATTCCACAAGAAATTGGTAGGGTTCTAGTATTTGCCAGGCATCACTCTATGCTCAGGGGTCTTGACTGGAAATAAGGTCAGAGTTTTTGCTGTCATGGAGCTGCAATCTAATAAGCTGCCACCTCAATTTGTCCCAGAGGACCATCTGAGCTCCCCTCTTTAGTAAAGTGAATTTAAGCTCTTTATTCTTAGTACTCCTGCAAACAGACTCAGCCCAGGTAGTGGTGAGTTTCCAAAGTCAGTGGTCTTTTTCTTAGCAGGGGTGGAGGCCTGGTTTACCAACAAGTGTTGTGGCCTTGGCAGAATGTCATAAACTCTTCCACCATTAGCCTTGGCACTATACTGTAGAGGCATGGGAACTCCCCACAACCTCTCAAGTCCCAAGGCCACTTTATTGAAGAATAATTTATTGTTGAAAGTACTAGAAATGGTATTCTTGAAATTATATTTTATATAATTTATTTTTTATTTAGTTTTGCATTTTCCTCTTTTTTTCAATTTTTATTAATATTTTTTGGTTACAGATGTTTCTCCTTTTTCCTCCCTAGACACCCCCCCCCAGCATTGTTGTCTGTGTCCATTGGTTATGCATACATGCATATAAGTTCTTTGGTTCATCTCATCCATTCCCTCTGTCTCCCTCCTCTGAGGTTTCTTAATCTGAACCATACTTCTTTCTATGTTTCTGGGTCTATTTCATTCATCAGCCCACCTTGTTCATTATATTCCACAAATAAGTGAGATCATGTGGTATTTGTTTTTCTCTTATTGGCTTATTTCACTTAGCATAATACTCTCAAGGTCCCTCCATGTCATCTTAAAGGATAAGAGATCTTTCTTTCTTGCAGCTGCATAGTATTCCATTGTATAGATGTACCACAGCTTTTTTATCCACTCATTTGTTGAAGGATACTTAGGCGTTTCCACATCTTAGCAATTGTAAATAGTGCTGCTATGAACATAGGGGTACATATATTCTTTCTGATTGGTTTTTCAGGCCTTTTAGGATATATTCTTAGAACTGGGATCATGGGATCAAATAGAAGATCAATATTTAATGTTATGAGGAAACAACACACTGTTTTCCAAAGTGGCCACACCAGTCTGAATTCCCACCAGCAGTGTACTAGAGTCCCCTTTTCTCCACACTCTCACCAACACTTGTTGTTTGATGATTTGTTGATGGCGGCCATTCTGACAGGTGTGAGGTGATACCTCATCATTGTTTTAATTTGCATCTCTCTGATGATTAGTGATGTTGAGCATTTCTTCATATGTCTCTTGTCCATTTGTATGTCCTTTTTTGGAGAGGTATCTATTTAGGTCTTCTGCCCATTTTTTAATTGGGTTCTTTGTCTTCCTTTTGTTGAGTTGCATGAGTATTCTATATATTTCGGAAATTAACCCCTTATCTGATGTATTGGCAATTATGCTCTCCCATACAGTGGGTTACCTTTCCATTTTGATGGTTGCTTCTTTTAAAATGCTTTCTTTCTTACCTTTTAAATATATTTATTTATATATTTTCAGATTTCTTCTTAGCAAGTTCAGATCAGCAACCAGAGGAGAAATCATCATAGCTCCAAAAACTGAAAGTGGACGGAGCTACAGCTTGGACTTAGATAGCCAAAATTTTCGGCATTTAAAGTCAGCCCCCAGTTCAGACAGGTAAGACACATGCAGATTGGACAATGGTATAGCCTAAATATAAGGTTGATGTATTTCCATCCAAAAAGTGCTTCTAGATGCCTATAAAATATTACCTCTTGAAGAACCCTTAAAACAGTGTGAAAAGCCAAGAGGCTATTTTTTAGTTGAAATGGAAAGCACTTGTAATTTTCTGGAATTACAGCTATTGAAATCACCTGTGTTACCTGTAGGGCCTAGACTTAATGTTTTGGGACTCAGGGCTGCATTTCAAATGGAAATGTACAATAAAATAAATTCTTTTAATTGACTTATTCATATTTTTCTGTTTCACCTTCTGAAAAAGAAACCTCTAAGTGTCATATACATCCCTTGTAGCTTTAAAAAATTTATTAACATAATTTTAACTGTCTTAGAAAATTTTTATAAATTCAACTTATTTCTAGTTCAACCTCCTCTAACTTGCCATCAGTGGAGTCAAGTGAGAATCTCCTATATACGGAGCTATCACTTTGTCAAGCAAAGTAAAACAAAATAGAAAGGATAGCCAAGAGTATAGTCATTTCATCTAGGGTTTGATTTTGTTTATCTTCCTTGGGTACAAGTCAAGGCTTACTTTCACAATTAGTATATTTTCAAAAGCAGCGAGGAGAAAAACTATCTACATTCATGTTTCTCTGCTTCTAAATGTTAACTTCCTTGGAGCTGCAGTAATTCTGCAAAGCCAAGAAGTAAAACCTCCTTACATGTTCAAGTAGAATTACATTCTACCTGTTATTAATTTTAGAATATAGAACAGCAAATCTCCTAGAGAAGACACTCTTTGGACTGTTGGGTCTATTTTTTTTTTTCATGGTGACTTGCCATACCTGTTTTTTTCTTCCCTAAATCATTTCTGCAAAGTAGTGTCACTTATGTAAAACTACACAGAAAAACATATGGAAGCAAGAAATAAATAATTTATCCATCAAAATATCACCACCATGTTCAGAATTTTCTAAATTTTCAAGAATGCAGATAATCTCACTTATAATAAAATTTAAACCATGGTTGCCTTGTCCTTGAAATAGTTACCTTTGACTTCCCTTGGGGTAGACCCACGTCATATCCCACAAAAACTATATAAAAACCTCATTTTGGCAAAATGGCGGCAGAGTGAATGGAAGCTACACAGACCATCTCCTAGGCCAAACTGGAACTACAACTACAACACAGACAAATCCACAGGAAAAAGCAACAGAAAAGCAGCTGGCGAGGACCATATAACCAGGGACACTGATTCTATTCTGGTAGGATTGCAAAGGCGTGAAACGGGGGCTGGGAGGCCATGGTCCGCAGCTTGGCAGTGGCATTAGCTGTGAGCAGTGCCCTCAGGTTACACTCCCAAGTGGCTCTACAGTGCAGAGCCCAGACAGAGGCTAAAATAGCCACAGCCACTCACTTTGGGTTCTGGCAGAGGGAGGGCAGACTGGACTGGAACTGTATGGGGACACTCGGGATTTGGAGGGCACTCAGAGCTGTTGCTGAGTTGCAGCCACAAAGGACAGTGGCCATCTTGCTCCTTCCCAGGGCTCTGGGGAGAGGCAGCAACCCCTCCCTGGGATGTTCAATCCCATCCTGTGGGCCATTGAAATGCAAAATGAGGCTCATTAACAACCAGCACCTGCCCCACCCTAAGGAAATCCCCTTATGCTGACCACCTGAGGGAGTTTTTCAATCAACTGACAACCCAAAACTCTTCAAGTAACCTGGACTGCTAGCCTCCGGGCAAAAAGCTAGAGGAAAACAGTACCATTTCTGGGCTAGCAACTCTAACCAGGAAAGTAAGACTTGACAGGGGTGTTTAACGTGGGTCCTCCCTCACTCATCTAGACCCAGGAGAGGAAGCCACAAACAGCAGAACACCAATACCCACCGGGAAAACTTGGCAGGCTCCAAATCCCACTGTGATAGCCAAAATGGTGAAACACAGAAACAAAAGCCAAATGAAAGAACAAGAGACCCCCACCGAAGATGATATCAATATGGAGCAGTTAGGCATGTTAACAGAGCTAGAATTCAGACCCATGATCTTGAGGCAATTCAACAGCATGAGTAAGGACATAAAGATGCTGAAAATAAACCAATTAGAAATTAAAAACCACCAGGAAGAGATCAAGAGTGACCCACCTCACAACAAAAGACTCACATAGGTTGAAAGTGAAGGGATGGAAAAAAATCTTCCAAGCAAACGGAAAGGGAAAAAAAGCTGGGGTAGCAATACTCATATCTGATAACATAGATTTTAAAATGAAGGCAATAACTAGAGAGAAAGAAGGCCACTACATAATATTGAAAGAATCTATCCAACAGGAAGATATAACCTTGATAAACATATATGCACCCAATATAGGAGCATCAAAATATATTAAAAATCTTATGGAGGACTTCCAAGGAGAAATCATCAGCAATACAATCATAGCAGGGGATTTCAACACCCCGTTGACACCACTTGATAGAGCCTCAAGACAAAAAATTAGCAAGGAAACAGAGACTCTAAATGAAGCACTAGACCAAATGGATTTAATAGATGTCTACAGAGAATGACACCCCAAAACTACAGAATAAACATTCTTCTCAAGTGCACATGGGACATTATCAAATATAGACCACATGTTAGGACACAAACGAAGTCTCTACAAGTTCAAGAAGAATGAAATCATATCCAGCATCTTCTCAGATCACAATGGCATGAAATTAGAAATCAATTGCAACAAGAACAGGCAAAGACATTTGAACACATGGAGGCTAAATAGCACGTTATTAAACAATGAATGGGTTACCAAGGAGATCAAGGAAGAAGTTAAAAAATTCCTGGAAACCAACAAAAATAAACACACAACAAGACAAAATCTGTGGGACACAGAAAAAGCAGTTCTGAAAGGGAAGTTCATAGCACTAACGGCCTACTTCAAAAAAAAACAAGAAAAATATCTAACAGACTATCTAACCTCACAACTTAAAGAACTAGAGAACAAACAAAAAGAAAACCCCAGAGCAAATAGAAGGAAGGAAATAGTAAATATCAGATCAGAAATAAATGATATAGTGTCCAAAAAACAATTCAAAGGATCAATGAAACAAAGAGCTAGTTTTTTTAAAAAGATAAACAAGATTGATGGACCCTTAGCTAGACTCACCAAGAAACAAAGGAAGAGAACTCAAATACACAAAATCAGAAATGAAAGAGAAGTAACAACTGACACCACAGAAATACATAAGATCATTAACAACTACTATGAACAATTATATGGCAACAAATTTGACAACCTAAGTGAAATGGACAAATTTCTAGAAACACATAGTCTCCCAAAAGTGGGTCAGGAAGAGATAGAAAACTTGAACAGACCAATAGCAACAAAAGAAATTGAAGATGTAATCAAGACTCTCCCATCAAAGAAAAGCCCAGGCCCAGATGGCTTCACGTGGGAGTTTTACCAAACATTCCAAGAAGAACTAACACCCATTCTCCTCAAACTATTTCAAAAAATTCAAGAAGAAGGAAGACTGCCAAACTCGTTTTATGAAGCCAGCATAATTCTAATTCCAAAACCAGAAAAATACACTACAAAGAAAGAAAACTACAGGCCAATATCCCTGATGAACATAGATGCCAAAATCCCAAACAAAATACTAGCAAATCGGATCCAGCAATACATAAAAAAAAAATTATTCACAATGAGCAAGTGGGATTCATCCCAGGGATGCAAGGCTGGTACAATATTTGCAAATCAATAAACATGACACATCAGATAAATAAAATGAAGAATAAAAACCACATGATCATATCAATAGATGCTGAAAAAGCCTTCAACAAATCCAGCATCCATTTCTGATAAAAACACTCAGCAATGTGGGAATTGAGGGATCATATCTTGACATAATAAAGGCCATATATGAAAGACCTACAGCCAATATCATACTCAATGGGCAAAAACTAAAAGCATTTCACTTAAGAACAGGAACAAGGCAAGGATGCCCACTTTTGTCACTCTTATTTAACATAGTACTGGAAGTCTTAGCCACAGCAATCAGACAGGAAGAAAAAATAAAAGGGATCCAAATTGGAAAGGAGGAAGTGAAACTGTCATTATTCGCAGATGACATGATACTATACTTAGACAATCCCAAAGACTCCATCAAAAATCAACTAGACTTAATAAATGAATTTGGAAAAGTAGCCAGATACAAAATTAACGTCAAGAAATCAATGGCATTCTTATACACTCATGATGAACTCACAGAAAGAGAAACTGTAAAAACAATCCCATTTATCACCGCAGCAAGAAAATTAAGATACCTAGGAAGAAACTTAACCAAAGAAGTTAAGGACCTATTTCCAGAAAACTACAGGACATTGAAAAATGAAAAAGAGGAAGATATAAAAAAGTGGAAGCACATACCTTGTTCATGGATTGGAAGAATTAACATCATTAAAATATCCATATTACCCAAAGCAATCTAAACATTCAATGCAATCCCCATCAAAATTCCAACGACGTATTTCACAGAACGAGACCATATACTCCAAAAGTTCACATGGAACAAAAAAAAGACCCCAAATAGCCACAGCAATCTTGAAAAAGAAGGACAAAGTAGGTGGCATCACAATACCAGATATCAGGTTATACTACAAAGCGAGTGTAATCAAAACAGCCTCGTACTAGCACAAGAACAGGCATATAAAGGAGTGGAACAGAATAGAGAATCCAGAAATGGACCCAAGGCAATGTGCTCAATTAATATTTGACAAGGTTGGCAAGAGCATACAGGGGATTAAAGACAGCCTCTTTAATAAATGGTGCTGGGAATATTGGATAGCTACATGCAAAAAAGTGAAACTAGACCATCCACTTACACCCTACATAAAAATAAACTCAAAATGGATAAAAGACTTAAATGTGACCCGTGAATCCATAAAAATTCTAGAAGAAAATATAGGGAACAAAATTTCGGACATGATACACAGCAGAATTTTCACT